CTGAAACACCTACTGAAACATCTAATGAAACACCTACTGAAATATCTACTGAAACATCTACTGAAATATCTACTGAAACATCTACTGAAACACCTACTGAAACACCTCCTGAAACATCTACTGAAACACCTACTGAAACATCTACTGAAACATCTAATGAAACACCTACTGAAACATCTACTGAAACACCTACTGAAACATCTACTGAAACATCTACTGAAACACCTACTGAAACACCTACTGAAACATCTACTGAAACACCTACTGAAACACCTACTGAAACATCTACTGAAACATCTACTGAAACAACACCTACCGAAACATCTACCGAAACACCTACTGAAACATTTACTGAAACACCTACTGAAACATCTACTGAAACATCTACTGAAACACCTACTTAAACATCTACTGAAACACCTACTGAAACATCTAATGAAACATCTACTGAAAAATCTACTGAAACATTTACTGAAACACCTACTGAAACATCTACTGAAACATCTACTGAAACACCTACTTAAACATCTACTGAAACATCTACTGAAACACCTACTGAAACATCTAATGAAACACCTACTGAAATATCTACTGAAACATCGACTGAAATATTTACTGAAACATCTACTGAAACACCTACTGAAACACCTCCTGAAACAACACCTACCGAAACATCTACCGAAACACCTACTGAAACATCTACTGAAACACCTACTGAAACATCTACTGAAACACCTACTGAAACATCTACTGAAACATCTACTGAAACACCTACTGAAACATCTACTGAAACACCTACTGAAACATCTACTGAAACACCTACTGAAACATCACAGAACTGATCTAAAAGAGGCGGAGCTCTGTCACCTCTTCTCCTTTGGTCCCAGGGAGAGAACGTCCTTTCTGACCCTGGAAACAGACAGACGTTTAGACCAGGTTTAGACCAGGTTTAGACCAGGTTTAGACCAGGTTTAGACCGGGTTTAAACCGGGTTTAGACCGGGTGAGTCCATGTTTAAAGAGGGTTTTTGACTTTTGTGGTAAAACATTTTGAAAATGTTTTATTCGCCCCAAACAACAGATTCTGTTTTACACTTTTCACGTTTGTTTCTTTTTACTCTCTGTGCTGACTCCCTCCCCCTTCAGAGCGTCACACTAATGAAACTTCTGCACAAACATCAGGTTTGTCCAGTCGCTGTGTTCAGTTTTGTGTTTTTATGGAGAATTGTCGTGTGGGAGCGTGGGGGCGGAGCCTCGTACAGACTGATACTGTGGGAGCATGAGGGACATAGGCTGGTGGGCGGAGCCTCGTACCCCCTCTTTAAACAGACCTGGACCTCACACTGGACTCACCGGAGGTCCCCTGAGGCCCGGAAAACCAGGAAGTCCCTGAAAAAGATTCTGTGTCAGATCCAAGATCAGGACTACCCTTTGACCTTTAACCTAAAATAAATGTGAGACTCACTGTGGCCCCCTGCAGGCCTCCAGGCCCCTCTGCACCATCTTGCCCCGGGGCACCTCGGGGCCCCTGCAACACAAAAAGAGTTTAGACCAGACCAGGACCAGGCCAGGACCAGAAGAGGACCAGACCAGGACCAGGCCAGGACCAGGCCAGGACCAGGCCAGGACCAGACATAGACTCACCCTGAGTCCTGGGAAACCACTCGGTCCAAGGTCCCCCTAAAACAGAAAAGAAGGCCATCAGAACCAGGACTAAACCAGGACTAAACCAAGACTAAACCAGGACTAAACCAGGACTGAACCAGGACTGAACCAGGACTGAACCAGAACTGAACCAGGACTGAACCAGGACTGAACCAGGACTTCTTGGGTTTTTGGTTGCTCGGATACTCACCGGGAGTCCTGGGATGCTGATGATGTAAAAGGAAGTGTCTCCTGGAAAACCTGGAGCTCCTGGAAAACCCTGGAACCAAAACAAACCGTCAAAGTAAAAAAACCCTCCTGTAGACCGGTTCAGATCCTCTCTCAGACCTGGTCTCCGGGGGGACCCTCTTCTCCCTCTCGTCCTGGGGGGCCACGTTCTCCTTTGGTCCCATTGCAACCGTCGACACCTGGGAGTCCGGGGCCCCCTGCTGGCCCCGGGAGGCCCTGCACACACAGATACACAGACACACACACGCGCACACACACAGATACACACACACACACACACATAAAGACACACACACAGATACACACAGAAACAGTAATGTATGTAAGAGTGATATATGTGTATGTGAGAGTGATATATGTGTATGTGAGAGTGATATATGTGTATGTGAGTGATATATGTGTATGTGAGTGATATACGTGTATGTGAGAGTGATATATGTGTATGTAAGAGTGATATATGTGTATGTGAGAGTGATATATGTGTATGTGAGAGTGATATATGTGTATGTGAGAGTGATATATGTGTATGTGTGAGTGATATATGTGTATGTGAGAGTGATATATGTGTATGTGAGAGTGATATGTGTATGTGAGAGTGATATATGTGTATGTGAGAGTGATATATGTGTATGTGAGAGTGATATATGTGTATGTGTGATATTGTGATGTGATATGTGTATGTGAGTGAGTGATATATGTGTATGTGAGAGTGATATATATGTGATGTATGAGTGATATATGTGTGTGGAGAGTGATATGTGTATGTGAGAGTGATATATGTGTATGTGAGAGTGATATATGTGTATGTGATGTGAGTGATATATGTGTATGTGTGTATATGTGTATGTGAGAGTGATATATGTGTATGTGAGAGTGATATATGTGTGATGTGTATGTGAGTGATATATGTGTATCTGAGTGATGTGTAGAGAGTGATATATGTGTATGTGAGAAGTGTATGTGATGTGATATGATGTGTATGTGAGAGTGATATATGTGTATGATGTAGAGAGTGATATATGTGTATGTGAGAGTGATATACGTGTATGTGAGAGTGATATACGTGTATGTGAGAGTGATATATGTGTATGTGAGAGTGATATATGTGTATGTGAGAGTGATATACGTGTATGTGAGAGTGATATATGTGTATGTGAGAGTGATATATGTGTATGTGAGTGATATATGTGATGTGAGAGTGATGTGTATGTGAGAGTGATATATGTGTGATGTGAGAGTGATATATGTGTATGTGAGAGTGATATATGTGATGATATTGTGTGAGTGATATATGTGTATCTGAGTGATATATGTGTATGTGAGAGTGATATATGTGTATGTGAGAGTGATATATGTGTATAGTGAGTGTGAGAGTGATATATGTGTATGTGAGTGAGTGATATATGTGTATGCTGAGTGATATATATGTGTATGTGAGAGTGATATATGTGTATCTATGTGATGTGATGATATGTGTATGTAAGAGTGATATATGTGTATCTGAGTGATATATGTGTGTGAGAGTGATGATGATGTGATATATGTGTATGTGATGTAGAGTGATATATGTGTATGTGAGAGTGATATATACGTGTATGTGAGAGTGATATATGTGTATGATGTGAGAGAGTGATATGTGTATGTGAGTGATATATGTGTATGTGAGAGTGATATATGTGTATGTGAGAGTGATATATGTGTATGTGAGAGTGATATATGTGTATGTGAGAGTGATATATGTGTATGTATGTGAGAGTGATATGTGTATGTATGTTGTATGTGAGAGTGATATATGTGTATGTGAGAGTGATATATATGTGTGATGTGATGATATGTGAGTGAGTGATATATGTGTATGTGAGAGTGATATATGTGTATGTGAGAGTGATATATGTGTATGTGAGAGTGATATATTGTATGTGATGTGATATGTGTATGTGAGAGTGATATATGTGTATGAGAGTGATATATGTGTATGTGAGTGATATATGTATGTGAGAGTGATATATGTATGTGAGGTGATTATTATGTGTAGTGAGTGATATATGTGTATGTGAGTGATATATGTGTATGTGAAGAGTGATATATGTGTATCTGAGTGATATATGTGCATGTGAGAGTGATATATGTGTATGTAAGAGTGATATATGTGTATGTGAGAGTGATATACGTGTATGTGAGAGTGATATATGTGTATGTGAGTGAGTGATATGATGTGTGAGATGTGTGTATGTGAGTGATATATGTGTATGTGAGAGTGATATATGTGTATGTGAGAGTGATATATGTATGATGTGAGTGATGATATATGTGTATGTGAGAGTGATATATGTGTATGTGAGTGAGTGATATATGTGTATGTGAGAGTGATATATGTGTATGTGAGTGATATATGTGTATGTAAGAGTGATATATGTGTATCTGAGTGATATATGTGCATGTGAGAGTGATATATGTGTATGTAAGAGTGATATATGTGTATGTGAGAGTGATATATGTATATGTGAGAGTGATATATGTGTATGTGAGAGTGATATATGTGTATCTGAGTGATATATGTGTATGTGAGAGTGATATATGTATATGTTAGAGTGATATATGTGTATCTGAGTGATATATGTGTATGTGAGAGTGATATATGTGTATGTGAGAGTGATATATGTATATGTGAGAGTGATATATGTGTATGTGACAGTGATATATGTGTATCTGAGTGATATATGTGTATGATGTATATGTGTATGTGAGTGATATATGTGTATGTGAGAGTGATATATGTGTATCTGAGTGATATATGTGCATGTTGAGTGTGATATATGTGTATGTGAGAGTGATATATGTGTATGTGAGAGTGATATATGTGTATGTGAGAGTGATATATGTGTATGTGAGAGTGATATATGTATGTGAGAGTGATATATGTGTATGTGAGAGTGATATATGTGTATCTGAGTGATATATGTGTATGTGAGAGTGATATATGTGTATGTGAGTGATATATGTGTATGTAAGAGTGATATATGTGTATCTGAGTGATATATGTGCATGTGAGAGTGATATATGTGTATGTAAGAGTGATATATGTGTATCTGAGTGATATATGTGCATGTGAGAGTGATATATGTGTATGTAAGAGTGATATATGTGTATGTGAGAGTGATATACGTGTATGTGAGAGTGATATATGTGTATGTGAGAGTGATATATGTGTGAGAGTGATATACGTGTATGTGAGAGTGATATATGTGTATGTAAGAGTGATATATGTGTATGTGTACTCACAGGTAAACCCTCGAGACCCGGGAACCCAGGGGCCCCCTCAAACCCCTGCGGAGAGAACGAGGGATTAGGAAAGAGGAGAACGTTTCATTTTCTCTCTGATAAAAACTCACAGTGTCGCCCTTGGGCCCCTGTCTCCCCCTCGGGCCCTCGTCTCCTCTGAGGCCCGGCTCGCCCTGAGGTCCCTGTGGTCCAGGAAAACCCGGGGGCCCCTGAGGCCCCTGACGGCCCACAGCTCCAGGTGCACCCTGCCAAGAGGGAGGAGACAGGTGAGAGGAACACGGACAGGTGAATCTACAAATCTACATGTGCAGCCTCTTTGTGTGAACACAACTGCACACACTTTAAACACACACACTTTAAACACACACACATTAAACACACACACTTTAAACACACACACATTAAACACACACACTTTAAACACACACACATTAAACACACACACATTAAACACACACACTTTAAACACACACACATTAAACACACACACACACACACATTTAAACACACACACTTTAAACACACACTTTAAACACACACACACACACACACTTTAAACACACACACGTTAAACACACACACTTTAAACACACACACACACACACACTTTAAACACACACACACTTTAAACACACACACTTTAAACACACACACACTTTAAACACACACACATTTAAACACACACACACACACTTTAAACACACACTTTAAACACACACAACACACACTTTAAACACACACACGTTAAACACACACACTTTAAACACACACACTTTAAACACACACACTTTAAACACACACACATTAAACACACACACTTTAAACACACACACACTTTAAACACACACACTTTAAACACACACACATTAAACACACACACTTTAAACACACACTTTAAACACACACACACACACTTTAAACACACACACACACTTTAAACACACACACACACACTTTAAACACACACACACTTAAAACACACACACTTTAAACACACACACACATTTAAAACACACACACACTTTAAACACACACACATTAAACACACACACTTTAAACACACACACATTAAACATACACACTTTAAACACACACACACTTTAAAACACACACACTTTAAACACACACACACTTAAAACACACACCACACTTTAAAACACACACACTTTTAAACACACACACTTAAAACACACACTTTAAACACACACACATTAAACACCACACACATTAAAACACACACACTTAAACACACACACATTAAACACACACACTTTAAACACACACACATTAAACACACACATTAAACACACACACTTTAAACACACACACATTTAAACACACACACACTTTAAACACACACACTTTAAAACACACACTTTAAACACACACACACACACACACTTAAAACACACACACTTTAAACACACACACACACTTTAAACACACACACACACACTTTAAACACACACACGTTAAACACACACACTTTAAACACACACACTTTAAACACACACACTTTAAACACACACACATTTAAACACACACACTTTAAACACACACACTTTAAACACACACACTTAAACACACACACATTAAACACACACACTTTAAACACACACTTTAAACACACACACACACACTTTAAACACACACACACACTTTAAAACACACACACACACACTTTAAACACACACACTTTAAACACACACTTTAAACACACACACACTTTAAACACACACACATTTAAAACACACACACACTTTAAACACACACACATTAAACACACACACTTTAAACACACACACATTAAACATACACACTTTAAACACACACACTTTAAAACACACACACTTTAAACACACACACACTTAAAAGACACACACACACTTTAAACACACACACTTTAAACACACACACACTTTAAACACACACACTTTAAACACACACACACACACACTTTAAACACACACACACACTTTAAACACACACACACACACACACTTTAAAACACACACACACACACACTTTAAACACACACACACTTTAAACACACACACACACACACTTTAAACACACCACACTTTAAACACACTTTAAACACACACACACACTTTTAAAACACACACACACACACACTTTAAACACACACACACTTAAACACACACACACACTTTAAACACACACACACTTTAAACACACACACACTTAAAACACACACACACACTTTAAACACACACACATTAAACACACACGCTTTAAACACACACACTTTAATCACACACACACTTAAAACACACACACTTTAAACACACACACACTTTAAACACACACACACTTTAAACACACACACACTTTAAACACACACACACTTTTTAAACACACACACACTTTAAACACACACTTTACACACACACACTTTACACACACACACTTAAAACACACACACTTTAAACACACACACACACACTTTAAACACACACACACACACACACACTTTAAACACACACACACACACTTTAAACACACACACACACACACTTTTTAAACACACACACACACACACACTTTAAACACACACACACACTTTAAACACACACACACTTTAAACACACACACACTTTAAACACACACACACACTTTAAACACACACACACACACACACACACTTTAAAACACACACACACACTTTAAACACACACACACACACACTTAAAACACACACACTTTAAACACACACACACTTAAAACACACACACACTTAAAACACACACACACTTTAAACACACACACACTTTAAACACACACACACACACATTTAAACACACACACAAACACACTTAAAACACACACACACACTTTAAACACACACTTTAAACACACATTTAAACACACACTTTAAACACACACACACACACACACACTTAAAACACACACACACACACTTAAAACACACATACACACACTTTAAACACACACACATTAAACACACACACTTTAAACACACACACTTTAATCACACACACACTTTAAACACACACACACACTTAAAACACACACACACTTTAAACACACACACTTTAAACACAGACACACACACTTTAAACACACACACTTTAAACACACACACACACACTTAAAACACACACAATTTAAACTCACACACACTTTAAACACACACACACACTTTAAACACATTTTAAACACACACACAAACACTTTAAACACACACATTTTAAACACACACACTTTAAACACACACACATTAAACACACACATTTTAAACACACACACTTTAAACACACACACTTTAAACACACACACACTTTAAACACACACACACTTTAAACACACACACACTTAAAACACACACACTTTAAACACACAGACACTTAAAACACACACACACACACTTTAAACACACACACACTTAAAACACACACACTTTAAACACACACACACTTTAAAAAACACACACACACACTTTAAACACACACACACACTTTAAACACACACACTTTAAACACACACACTTTAAACACACACACACTTAAAACACACACAATTTAAACTCACACACACTTTAAACACACACACACACACTTTAAACACACACTTTAAACACATTTTAAACACACACACACTTTAAACACACACACATTAAACACACACACTTTAAACACACACACTTTAAACACACACACACACACTTTAAACACACACACACACACACTTTAAACACACACACTTTAAACACACACACACACACACACACTTTAAACACACACACTTTAAACACACACACACCACACACTTAAACACACACAGACACACACTTTAAACACACACACTTTAAACACACACACTTTAAACACACACACACACTTTAAACACACACACACTTTAAATACACACACTTTAAACACACACACACACACAATTTAAACTCACACACACTTTAAACACACACACACACTTTAAACACACACTTTAAACACATTTTAAACACACACACACTTTAAACACACACACATTAAACACACACATTTTAAACACACACACTTTAAACACACACACATTAAACACACACACTTTAAACACACACACTTTAAACACACACACTTTAAACACACACACACACTTTAAACACACACACACACTTAAAACACACAGACACACACTTTAAACACACACACTTTAAACACACACACTTTAAACACACACACACTTTAAACACACACACTTTAAACACACACACACAATTTAAACACACACACATTAAACACACACAGTGTTTGTGTGTTTGTTTGTGTATTTGTGTGATTTGTGTGTATTTGTGTAGGTTTTGTGTGTTTTGTGTGTATTTGTGTAGGTTTTGTGTGTTTTGTGTGTATTTGTGTGTATTTGTGTGTGTATTTGTGTGTATTTGTATGTTTTGTGTGTATTTGTGTGTTTTGTGTGTATTTGTATGTTTTTTGTGTGTATTTGTGTGTGTATTTGTGTGTATCTGTATGTTTTGTGTGTATTTCTGTGTTTTGTGTGTATTTGTATGTTTTGTGTGAATTTGTATGTTTTGTGTGTGTATTTGTGTGTATTTGTGTATGTTTTGTGTGTGTATTTGTGTGTATTTGTATGTTTTGTGAGTGTATTTGTGTATGTTTTGTGTGTATTTGTATGTTTTGTGTGTGTATTTGTGTGTATTTGTATGTTTTGTGTGTGTATTTGTATGTATGTTTTGTGTATTTGTGTATGTTTTGTGTGTATTTGTATGTATTTGTGTATGTTTTGTGTATTTGTGTATGTTTTGTGTATTTGTGTATGTTTTGTGTATTTGTGTATGTTTTGTGTATTTGTGTATGTTTTGTGTGTATTTGTATGTTTTGTGTATTTGTGTATGTTTTGTGTATTTGTGTATGTTTTGTGTATTTGTGTATGTTTTGTGTGTATTTGTGTATGTTTTGTGTATTTGTGTATGTTTTGTGTATTTGTGTATGTTTTGTGTATTTTGTATTTGTGTATTGTTTTGTGTGTGTTGTATTTGTTGTGTATTTGTGTGTATTTGTGTTTGTGTATTTGTGTATGTTTTGTGTATTTGTGTATGTTTTGTGTGTATTTGTATGTTTTGTGTATTTGTGTATGTTTTGTGTATTTGTGTATGTTTTGTGTATTTGTGTATGTTTTGTGTATTTGTGTAGTACATGTCAGTGTCCAGCAGAGGGAGCACAGGAGCACAGGTCCGTCCCTCTGACCCTCCCTCCGTCTTTCTCTTTCTCTCTTTTATTTTTATTTTGTTTTACTTCAGCGAACCCTCTGCAGATCTAAACCAGGTCTAAACCAGGTCTGGATCTAAACCAGGTCTAAACCAGGTCTGGATCTAAACCAGGTCTAAACCAGGTCTGAGTCTAAACCAGGTCTTGGTCTGGGTCTAAAGCAGGACTCTGGAGTTGGTTCAGCTGCAGACTGAAGCCCGGCTCTTCGTGAGAACCGACCCTGAGGATTTCACACATGAGAGACCCTCCAAAGACCGGACTATGACCGGACTAACCCAGGACTAAAGCCGGACTAAAACGGGACTAAAGCAAAACCAAACCAGGACTACGGGGGATCACAGCTGTCATGAAGAGTCTCCACTCAGTCCAGTGCACAACAAGGTCATGACACAGAGACCAGACCAGGACCAGACCAGAGACCAGACCAGACCAGACCAGAGACCAGACCAGAGACCAGACCAGGACCAGACCAGACCAGACCAGACCAGGACCAGACCAGACCAGACCAGACCAGACCAGACCAGACCAGACCAGACCAGACCAGACCAGAGACCAGACCAGGACCAGACCAGACCAGACCAGAGACAGACCAGGACCAGACCAGGACCAGACCAGGACCAGACCAGAGACCAGACCAGAGACCAGACCAGGACCAGACCAGGACCAGACCAGAGACCAGACCAGGACTCAGACCAGGACTGAAACCAGACCAGAGACCAGACCAGGACCAGAGACCAGACCAGAGACCAGACTATAAATCACACAAATCAACAATGTGTGTGTGTGTGTGTGTAAATGTGTGTGTGTGTGTAAATGTGTGTGTGTGTGTAAATGTGTGTGTAGGTGTGTGTATGTAAATGTGTGTAAAGGAGAAACATTCTTCATGAACAATTTCTCGACAACGATGAAGAGAAGAAAAAACAAAACTTAAAGGAAAAAACGAGCCACAAACTCGACTCATGTTCTGCTCCTGGAGAAAACAGAAGAACTTCTTCACTCAGACTCGTTCTACTTTTTAAATTAAACCTGGATTTGATGATGTGGAGATTTGTTTAGATAAACAGATTTGTGACGTTTAAATGTTCCACGTCTCCAGGAGCAGAACATGAGTCCAGTTTGTGGCTCGTTTTTTCCTTTAAGTTTTGTTTTTTCTTCTCTTCATCCTTGTGGAGAAATTGTTCATGAAGAATGTTTCTCCTTTGTGTCGTTGGAGGTCGAGAGCCGTCGATAAAAACAGGCCTGACACACAACAACACACAAAGATCACACAACACAAAGATCACACAACGCACAAAGATCACACAACAACACACAAAGATCACACAACACACAAAGATCACACAACACAAAGATCACACAACACACAACAACAGATCACACAACACAAAGATCACACAACACACAAAGATCACACAACACAAACACACAACACAAAGATCACACAACACACAAAGATCACACAACACACAACAGATCACACAAACACAACAGATCACACAACACACAACAGATCACACAACACAAAGATCACACAAGATCACACAACACACAAAGATCACACAACGCACAAAGATCACACAACACACACACAAAGATCACACAACACACACAAGATCACACAACACAAAGATCACACAACACACAAAGATCACACAACACAAGATCACAAAGATCACACAACGCAAAAGATCACACAACAACACACAAAGATCACACAACACACAAAGATCACACAACGCACAAAGATCACACAACACAAAGATCACACAACACACAAAGATCACACAACAACGCACAAAGATCACACAACAACACACAAAGATCACACAACACAAAGATCACACAACACAAAGATCACACAACGCACAAAGATCACACAACACAAAGATCACACAACACACAAAGATCACACAACACAAAGATCACACAACACACAAAGATCACACAACACACAAAGATCACACAATGCACAAAGATCACACAACGCACAAAGATCACACAACACAAAGATCACACAACGCACAAAGATCACACAACACACAAAGATCACACAACACAAAGATCACACAACGCACAAAGATCACACAACACACAAAGATCACACAACACACAAAGATCACACAACACAAAGATCACACAACACACAAAGATCACACAACACAAAGATCACACAACACACAAAGATCACACAACACAAAGATCACACAACACACAAAGATCACACAACACAAAGATCACACAACACACAAAGATCACACAACACAACAAAGATCACACAAACACACAAGATCACACAACACACAAAGATCACACAACACACAAGATCACACACACAAAGATCACACAACACACAAAGATCACACAACACACAAAGATCACACAACGCACAAAGATCACACAACGCACAAAGATCACACAACGCACAAAGATCACACAACGCACAAAGATCACACAACACACAAAGATCACACAACGCACAAAGATCACACAACGCACAAAGATCACACAACACAAAGATCACACAACGCACAAAGATCACACAACACAAAGATCACACAACGCACAAAGATCACACAACACACAAAGATCACACAACACAAAGATCACACAACACAAAGATCACACAACGCACAAAGATCACACAACACACAAAGATCACACAACACAAAGATCACACAACACAAAGATCACACAACACAAAGATCACACAATGCACAAAGATCACACAACGCACAAAGATCACACAACACAAAGATCACACAACACACAAAGATCACACAACACACAAAGATCACACAACACACAAAGATCACACAACAACACACAAAGATCACACAACACACAAAGATCACACAACGCACAAAGATCACACAACACAAAGATCACACAACGCACAAAGATCACACAACGCACAAAGATCACACAACGCACAAAGATCACACAACGCAAAAAGATCACACAACACAAAGATCACACAACGCACAAAGATCACACAATGCACAAAGATCACCCAACACAAAGATCACACAACGCACAAAGATCACACAACGCACAAAGATCACACAACACAAAGATCACACAACGCACAAAGATCACACAACACACAAAGATCACACAACGCACAAAGATCACACAACACACAAAGATCACACAACACACAAAGATCACACAACACAAAGATCACACAACGCACAAAGATCACACAACACAAAGATCACACAACGCACAAAGATCACACAACACACAAAGATCACACAACACACAAAGATCACACAACACACAAAGATCACACAACACAAAGATCACACAACGCACAAAGATCACACAACACAAAGATCACACAACGCACCACCACACACACGTTTATATTTATATTTACAGCTTTCCCAAATATCTGTGTGATGGGCCCGTGCACATGTCTGTGTGATGGGCCCGTGCACATGTCTGTGTGATCGGCTCTCACCTGTGCTCCTTTGGGGGGGGCGCACACACACGAGGAGCAGTCACGACCTCCACACTCACGGCTCACATCACCCTGGAACAACAACCACATGTGTCAGGTCCCCTCTCTGTGTGTCAGGTCCCCTCCTCCTGTCAGGTCCCCTCCCCGTGTGTCAGGTCCCTCCTCGTGTGTGTCAGGTCCCTTCCTCGTGTGTGTCAGGTCCCCTCCTCGTGTGTGTCAGGTCCCTCCTTGTGTGTGTTAGGTCCCCTCCCCATGTGTCAGGTCCCTCCTCGTGTGTGTCGGGTCTCTTCCTCGTGTGTGTCAGGTCCCTCCCCGTGTGTCAGGTCCCTCCTCGTGTGTGTCGGGTCTCTTCCTCGTGTGTGTCAGGTCCCTCCCCGTGTGTCAGGTCCCTCCCCGTGTGTCAGGTCCCTCCTCGTGTGTGTCGGGTCTCTTCCTCGTGTGTGTCTGGTCCCCTCCTCGTGTGTGTCAGGTCCCTCCTCGTGTGTTCTTGGAGTTTACAGTTCAGGTTTCAGACTGTGTGGGACCCTGTTGCTGTGAGTCAAGTGCTTCTCGTCTGGACCATGTGACCCACACGCTAACGAGCTAACACGCTAACCCTGGTTCAGACAGGAAGTGGTCGCGGCGCTCTCTCCGGCTCCACGGGCTCTGGCTCCACTTCACTTTGTGTAAAACTTGACCCTGGGTTTTAAGTTCAGGTCCAGGTCTGAAGTTTGGGGCGAGTTCAGACCTGCCTCACGGATCTGGACCAGATCTAGACCAGGACCAGACTAAATACCATCATCTGATAATCCTCAGACTAAACAAGAGCCAGACCACAGACATGGTCTAAACCCAGTCTAAACCAGGTCTAAACCCAGTCTAAACCAGGTCTAAACCAGGTCTAAACCAGGTCTAACCCTAACGCTAAACCCAGTCCAACCAAGGAGCAGGGTCTAAAACTGGTCTAAGAAAGCAGCAGGATCTAAACCTGGTCTAAACCTGGTCTACACTGAGACTGAGCCATAAAAACAGAAAAACAAACTCCATGACCCCAGATTTATGAATAAAGTGTCACAGGGGGCGGAGTCAACACCAGCCGACCAATCAGAACAACACA